AGCGCGATGTAAAGACGGAACCGTTCCGTTCCGTCCCGGCACAGTCTACAATTCAGGCGGCGCGTAGCGGTCGGCGCCGGCTGCCGAGTCGCCGCGTCGCTGCGGCGACGGGATGTTCACTTTACACCGCTATTACTAGAACAGTTGTGAACCGATTTTCTTATTGCTTGCACGATGAGATGGCCAATTCAATTCTTGACAGGAAGCCATAATTAATTTCGCATTAATCTTATGAGATATTGGCGAAAAACAGGAGGGGTGGGCGAAATTCGCTCTTCCCCCTCCTCTGCGCGTGCTAACATACGTTTGCATATGTGCAATTTTCTTCAAAACTTATGAATGGCCCACTCTAATTTTTTCACAGGTTGTTAAGAATATGGTAGGCAATAAAATATATGAAAATGAGCCAAATCGAAGGTGACGTGTTTTTTGCTATTTCAATATTTGTGCTTAAGAACAGAGTTAAGCAAATTTCAAGGTCATATATTTAAGTAGGTGCAATTCTAAACAAATGCTTAAGAAATTACCTAAACAGTAAGGTTTATTTCATTCAAATCAAACAAGTACAACCAAAGTTATGGTCGTTCAAAAATATAAAGATGCAACATTTTGTAAAAATTTGATGCCCTTTATTTAGAAGACCTGTGGTCAGAATGTGCAAAAAACATCAATGTAATGTCCGGGGCCACACAGGAACTCGCTCACAAATTTATAATGAAATCGCTGATGGTAAGGTGCAAAACAGCCGATTTTTGTTCGATTTGACGTGGAATGCCCCTATACGGAAATTTTCTTTCATTATCTGTGATAATGCTGAAATCAAAAATGAGTTTTGAATTTTTAGGAAATATTTTTCAACATTCCTGCTTAAATGTCGTATGTGATAGTTTAAATGATAAATAGAACCACAAATAAATAAATATATCACACAATTATTCCTCTTCCTTAGAGGCACCTCAACCTTTAGTAACACGAACAACTGGTGATACGCGTAGTTGCGCGTAGTACTTTGTGTACGTAGACTTTCCTATCCTATCTTTCGCGGCTATTGATACGCTGGCTGACGAGTCAACCGTATTCGATATCTATAATGAAACTTTTGATCCCTTCATAAATGATATAGGCAACATATCCACGACTCATTCTCAATATGATAAGGTGAGGACTAGCTGCAGTTTTCATGAATGTACCAAATTTCGAAATCTTAACTGTTTTGAAAATAACATTTCAATCATTCATATAAATGCACGTTCCATGGTAAACAAGCTGGATGAAATTGAAACATTTTTGGCACAATTAGAACAAAAAATGGCATTTGTATGCATATCAGAAACCTGGCTTAATCCAAAAATAGAAAATAAGTTTGGCTTAGGGGATGAATATATGGCTTTCTACAAAAGTAGAGAAATTAAAGTAGGAGGGGGATCAGCAATTTTTGCATATGACAAATATTTCACTGGAATACAAAAGATAAATATACATGAGTTTAAAACAGCTGAAGTAGTTACACTACAGATCAAGAATGGAAACAAACCACCTTTCCTTGTTTGTCAAATGTACCGACCCCCTGAGAATGAATGGGAATTTCTAAATGAAATGGAACAATTTCTTGCCACCTTAACTTAACTTAATATGCTTGCATTCATTACAGGTGATTTCAATTTTGATTTATTTTCTATGAAAAATAATTCTGCTAATGAATCATTTTTTACATTAATGTGTAGTTATGGATTTTTGCCAACCATCTCCAAAGCTACCCGAATTACCCCAACCTCGGGTACTCTTATTGATAATATCTTTACAAATGACTTGTCCAAAGTGGTAGTACCAGGAATCATTTTAACAGACCTTTCAGACCATCTTGTAATCTTTGCAACTGTAAACATTGAAAATAAGAGATTGGAAAAGAAAAAACATAAAGTAAAAACAGTATTTGACTACAACAAAATTGAAACCCTCAGGGGCCAACTAGTACAGAGTCTTGATGGACTCACTGCTCAAACAGATCCAGAACTGGCATGCATACAAATAATACAGGCATACAAGGATGGTATTGCTTTGTGCTCGAAAAACATAGCAAGCTCGAGAAAAAATAACTTCATAAAACCATGGATGACTCCAGCAATTCTCTGTTCCATTAATCATAAAAACAAATTATTTGTTAACAAACTTAAAAATCCCAGCATGTACAACATAGCACAATACAACAAATATCGTAACTGTCTCAATAGGGCAATCGCCAATTCAAAGAAGGCCTACTATGAAGCGGAATTCCAAAAAAACAATAGGAACCCCAAAAAGACGTGGGAAACACTAAATGAACTCCTAAAACAAAAAAGCAAATATGATATTTTACCTGAAACATTTAACAATACTGATAATAATGAACCTGAAAAAATGTCAATGGCTGAAAATTTCAACAAATTTTTCACAGAAATTGGTGAAAAATTGAAACAGAATATTCCATGTAATAACAAAAATCCTTTAGAAAATGTGCAAGAGGCAGAAGGAGAATTTTCAAACTTCTGCAATGTCACTGATGACAAAGTAGAACAAATAATCAAACAGCTTAAAGATGTTGGCGCTGGAGTCGACGGGATCAATTCAAAAATATTAAAACATACTTACAAACCTATCCTTTCAAAGCTTACCTATTTCTTTAATCTATGCCTTTCAACAGGAATCTTCCCAAACCCATTGAAAATAGCATCTGTGAAGCCAATCTACAAAAATGGAGATCAAAATAACTTGTCAAATTATAGACCAATTAGCATATTGCCAGTGATTTCAAAAATATTAGAGAAACTGATCCACTACCAATTGACAGAGTTTGCAACAAACAGATGCATTCTCTCAGAAAACCAATTCGGATTTAGGAAAAACAACTCTACATACATGCCTATCATGCTTATACAAGATTATATAACTGAAGCACTGGAAAAAAATGACATTGTAACGGGCATCTTTCTTGACCTTTCAAAAGCCTTTGACACGGTAGATCACAAAATACTACTAGAGAAATTAAACAAAATGGGTTTTCGAGGACATGTTCTAAAAACAATTAAATCATATCTAACGAACAGATTCCAAGTGGTGCAGATAGAAGGGGTTAAGTCAACAGAACGAGAAATAAAAATAGGCGTACCTCAGGGGTCAATCCTTGGACCACTTCTTTTTATTTTATATTTAAATGATATAGTAAATTTGCAATTTGAAGGTCGATTTATGCTCTATGCAGATGACACTGCAATATTCTTCAAACATAAAAACATAGAAATACTGCAAGAAATAACCAATGAAGCGCTGGTAAAAGTATCAGAATGGTTTGAAGCTAATTATCTTACAGTGAATACATCAAAAACATTTCTCCAAGTGTATTCAAAACGCAGGTGTACCGAAAAGCTGAATATATACATTAAAGACACTGCATTAATAGAAAAGAAATCAGTGAAATATTTAGGAATTCTAATTGACTCTGACCTCAAATTCACAACCCATATCAGTAGCATTTGTAATACTATTAGCAGAAATATTGGAATGATTGCAAGAGTTAAACGATTTATCCCAAAACAGCAGCTCATTCAACTGTATCACTCCCTCATTTTTCCTTACATCAACTACTGCTGCTTTATTTGGGGCTCTAACTATGATGAACATCTTCAAAAACTGGTAATCCTGCAAAAAAGGTTCATGAGACTCATTGAGGGTATTTTCCCACCACAAAGTGCTACCCCAATATTTAAAAAATATAATATTCTAAAAATTAAAGACATAGCCAAACTTCAAATAATACTTATCATGCATAAGTACATAGTACATGAATTGCCAGTGTCTGTAGGGCGATTGCTTCAACTCTCAACTGAACCTATCCATCATACAAGGAATATCAACCATTTTCAACCTGTCTTCTCAGCAAAAAACTACAGGCTCTACTCCTTTGCCTGCATGGGACCCAAACTTTGGAATGATGTAATCGCAAAAGATATTCTGTTAGAAGAAATACCACAATCAAAGATCACTTTCAAAAAATATGTAAAGAATATCTTGCTTAGTGTATACTAAGCAAAAGTAGTGGGAAAATAGCAAAGTTATTAACAAAACTAGTAGATAAGCATCCTTGGGTATAAAGGACCCACTAAATGCTTTCAACAGGCTTAGAAAAAATATGAAAGTAAGCAAATAAGCAATCTTTGTAAGTAAGCTTTGTATCTTTTGTAATGTAAATCTTTTGTAATGTAAGCAATCTTTGTAATGAAAGGTGAAGATACAAACAATATTGATATAAATAGGAAATGAGAGCAAATGACAATGCGTACACGAATAACAATTAACAAATTACATATGCGTAGTACTTTTCACAGGCATTGTTCAGCACCTCAACAGGTGGCCCAATAATGGATGTACCAATAGGTACATTTATTATCGGGAAGGCTGCAAATGCCGGCTACAATAATGTGTTGACTGTTTTGTGTGCAACCTGTGTCATTTTCAACACAAAAGATACATCCCCACTCAATTGGAACGCCAGACTTGACGGGGCCCACCGGCAACAAGCTATGCTTAGCTGGTGGGCCCCAGAAAGTCTGGCTATGAACTCGAGCTCGAATTGACCAGAAATGTTTCCCCACTGCCATTCTGCTGTTTTCCTGTGAGTGAATGTTTAAATACCATCTACTAACCAATTATGCATGGTTGTATGAATGACTTCTTTCGTAGATGCATTTGGACAGTCATTCGCTGCATTCAGCAATGACTACTTTTGCTCTCTTTTATCATTAACCTGTTGCCCGCACTTCTTTTGCTTGATTTTGTTTCCTACTTTTCCTAGCTGGGAGTGCCGCGACTTATCCTTTATTTTGTCTGGTGTTAACGTAAGGTGCTGTGAGTCGCTGGGCTGAGGGTGGGGGCACTCCTGGTCACCTATTAATGGGTGGCGGAGTAGTTCGAAGAAATAAAAAAAAAAGTTAATAGTCCTAAGTTACGCGCTCTGGATCACTGACCTTGCCATGATCCTGTCGATGGGATCCCGGATCATGCTGAACCGGAGCGGCAGGGAGGCTCCGTGCTCCACAAAGTCCATGATGTAGGCGGAGTGGGAGACGCAGGCTCCGTCCGCTCCGGTGTCAGACAGGGAGGCCATCTTCTGCACCAGCCGCTTCTGTGGAGGAGATGGGATGGAGAGGGGTGAGAGTAGTGAGCAGGGGAGCGAGGGGAGTGAGAGAGGTGGTCTGAGGGAAGGACAAAGTGTTAGAACATGAGCCTGAGTCGTAGTGTGTTGATGTGAAGACGCATCTGCTTCAAGAGCGCTAGTGATGATGGCAGTGTCTGAATTCCAAAAAGGAAGGCTAAAAATAAAACAAAATCAGGAAATCGTGCCGCAACAAAATTCTAGAAAATATTGCAGGACACTTTAATGGTTAATGACCTGTAAGCAAAATGCTCGTACACCCCGTGGTTCAATGTCACCAGCTGCCAGCTGGAAACTGACATTGAAACGCAACACGGCCAGGCAAGCGGTGTCCTCTCGGGACATTTTCCGTTTCAACCTCTACATTGGCCAACATCCACCCAACAATGCCACCTGGACAGTACAATGAGAGAAACTCGAGCCCGTTGTTACAGTTGGTCCAGCACTGCTGGAATCTCGACTGGTGTCGGAACACATAGCTCCGGTGGCCGGACCAGTGGCCAGACAATATCTCACATGCCGGGAGTTCCAGTCCCGTTTCAAAGCCCACGGACCGGCGCAAGAGAGCCTTAGATGGAGGAATGTGCGGCAAGCTTGCCGAGTTTGAAGAAATGTAATGGATATTTTCTGTCTGTCCTTGGTATGCGTTTGACAGGTAAAAGATTGATTGTAAGTACGTACACTGTACAGTCATATGCTTATGCATGCATATTAACCATGTGTGGGGGTAACAGATTGGCTGATGATTAACATATGGATGCTAGACAATAGAGCGGTCGTTAACCTGTTCTCTGATGTAATATTTCACATCATTGACTGATCCACTTCCCCTTAACCTAGGTAAGTACACCAGCATGACGGCCTTTCCCTTATCATTCCACACACATCGTTAGTATTTCTCACAATCATGCAGCACTGTGTCACAGTCTCTCACATTACGGTATCCCCTTCCGGCGACCCGTACAGGCGTCCTGTAGCGGCGCACGCGCACTTCCCACACCCGAACTTGATCACAGGGCCCACGGCGGCGGCCGTCAGTCTGACGAAAGTGAAACTGGTGCGCCGCGCCGCCGGCTGCGGGCTCGGCACGCGGTGTATAGTGGCTCCCTGACCAGTCCCGGTGGGCAGAACTGGACAGTAGTCCTTCCCAGGAGCGTGGGTTGAAGTGACCGAGCGGGGAGGGCGGAGCGGGGTGGATGGGGGAGTTAGAAAGTGAGCAGGTATTGAGTTAGAAGTTGGAGCAGCACATGTTGAATGAATGTAGAACGGAAAATATGTGGATGGAGAAAGAAAATGGGAATTGGTTGTTTGAGAACGTGGATAAATATATCAAAGAGACATCAAACAGATGAAGTTTGGGATAATATTGTCTTTTTTGTCTATAGTGCCGTCATAAAAGTCCCCCCAATCATAAAACAAAGCAAACGTCTTATAATTTGTTATCCGTACATTACCATCAAAAATATCCCATTGTTCAACTGCATTTTTAGGAACGTTTCATCATGGCCTTGGGTCCAGAGAACATCATGCAATAATCAAGAACCAGAAAAAAAAATTGCGATCGTAAAACCAGATACGATCAGATGGCCGTATGCATCGCAAACACGATACGATGACATCACCGACCGTGGTAGAACGTAGTTACGACGATAAGTGGCCAGAGTACGTGATCAAATGCACCAAGTGACCGCCGAGGCCGTTATAAGATGATCCAAATACTGTGTAGGGGAGACCCGGGAGGTATGGGCCCCCTGGAGGTATGGGCCATCGCAGTTTTGAAGAAGTGTTGCGTGTTTTTACACATTTGACGGCGTTAACTGGTAGCAGCCATTCCATTATACAACCCACGTGATTTTCAAAATCTTCCTCAATCTTCTTTGGCAATGAGCGGTGATAAACTGTTTTTGCCCTCTTCGAGTTAAATACGGTACATACAGAAAATTCATGATAAATTTGAACCAGGCTCGTTTTATGATGTCAGACCATCGCTAACATAAAGTTTAAAGTATGGAAATTATGACTGGATAGACAATTTGAAGCTTTCTAGCAAGATTATGAGCTGAGATGCTACGCACATTCTGGCGTCCTAACCGGGAGGTTCGGGCCACCCACCCCGTTGATCCTAAATAGATAAAAACATGCTTTCATTGAATGTCCCAGTCAATAGGTTTTAGTTTTGTCGCGCAAGGTCGAAAATTTAGTTTCAAATTTCATTCGAACAGAAAAAATATTATTGATCTTATTTCATGGTGCATGATGGTGCATGAAAACACATATGTGCCCAAGTGACCTTCATGAAGTAAGCTGTTGGCCGCTTATGCGGTCCCTGGGCTCTAAGAGAGATCAAGGTAGATAACAGCAACGAGTATTGTTCTCATTATCGAGAAAAGAATATGAAACATGGCGCCGGCCCATATCTCCCGAGCCATGGCCCATACCTCCCGGTGTATTTTGATGGATCGAAAAAGCACATGATGTATTGAAAGTTATTTCGAGACAAAATAGTTGATCCCCGATGCCTAATATCAGGCACACGTTGCAAGCGAAAGGCAATTTCACGTACACAGAGTGAAAAACCGGGTCTAGCGACTGCCCACTGGAAGAAAATTGTCTTTTCACAAAACCGGCCCATACCTCCCGGGTCTCCCCTACTCGTCGGAGCGAAGATGGAGCGACCCCGCCCGCGGCGCGGCCGGACCTTGGGGTCGTCTGCCGGAGCTTCGGTGGTCCACCCAATTGGGGAGTAGCATGTGCCGTCAAGGACAGACCCGGCCCACGAAAATCATTACTGGATGTTCTGTTGTATTAATTCGAGTATGATGCAACACAATGCATATGGTACTGCACCATTCAAACATAACCACGTCCACGGGGGCTGGAAAGAGTTTCATCCACATCCTGCTGGCGTCTGCTGTCTATAAATGCGACTGCTCCCATTCATATTTGCAATCACTGAAAACGTACATACAGACCACTGATATCGATTTTATACTACCTCTCAGACAAATAATGCCTCCCAGCCAGCCTTCCCAAATGGGGCCCATATGGGCTGAAAGTGGGGCATCTGGGCTTAAGTGGGCATGGGCTACATGTGGGCTATTATCTGGGCTAAATCTGGGTCCCATATGGGCTGAGCCCCAGCAAACATGCCCACATGGGTCCCATATGGGGTGAACATGGGCCAGATGGGCCCACGTGGGACATGGGCTACAGATGGGCTACCCACATGGGCCCCATATGGGATAAAAATGGGCCAGGTGGGCAAAACGCATGTGGGCTGGAGATGGGCATCCCATGTGGGTCCCATATGGGGTGAACATGGGCCAGATGGGCCCACGTGGGACATGGGCTACAGATGGGCTACCCATATGGGCCCCATAGGGGATAAAAATGGGCCAGGTGGGCCAAACGCATGTGGGCTAGAGATGGGCATCCCATGTGGGTCCCATATGGGGTGAACATGGGCCAGATGGGCTCACGTGGGACATGGGCTACAGATGGGCAACCCATATGGGCCCCATATGGGATAAAAATGGGCCAGGTGGGCCAAACGCATGTGGGCTGGAGATGGATATCCCATGTGGGTCCCATATGGGGTAAACATGGGCCAAATGGGCTCACGTGGGACATGGGCTACAGATGGGCAACCCATATGGGCCCCATATGGGATAAAAATGGGCCAGGTGGGCCAAACGCATGTGGGCTGGAGATGGGCATCCCATGTGGGTCCCATATGGATCACCCATGTAGGCCCCATTTAAGTTACTCCAAGAGCATAAAAGCAAAAAAGGTGACTGTTGTTCATGTGAATTTTGGACTCCAAGTGCATCAAGTTCATACATGATGCCATATGGGGTCAATGTAGGCTGGCCCATATGGGTCCCTGATGTGGGGGCCGCGTGGGTCTCATATGGGGCCTACGTGGGCTTGCCCATATGGGTCCCATGTGTCACCCACTGCTATTCCCATGTGGGCCCATATGGAAGAGGTGGGGGGCCATGTGGGCCCCATATGGGAACCATGTGGGCATGTTTGCTGGGATATGGACATTTCCTTTACTACAAAATGTTGGTATCTGACCCGACACCTATCTGGGCTGGATGCGGGCAGCATGTGGGCAAACTGGACATCAACAAGCTGGGCACACCCAGCCGGGGCCCACATGGGGCCCGGCCGCCCACATGGACAAAATTTACTACAAAACTTTGTTAACTGACCCGACACCTAGGTATCTGGGCTGGATGCGGGCAGCATGTGGGCAAACTGGACACCAACACGCTGGGCACACCCAGCCGGGGCCCACATGGGGCCCAGCCGCCCACATGGGCAAAATTTACTACAAAACTTTGTTAACTGACCCGACACCTATCTGGGCTGGATGCGGGCAGCATGTGGGCAGACTGGGCACCAACAAGCTGGGCACACCCATCCGGGGCCCACATGGGCAAAAGTTACTACAAAACTAATTGTTAACTGACCCGACACCTACACCAATCTGCAATAAACATTTCCTTTATTACAAAATTTTGTTAACTGACCCGGCACCTATCTGGGCTGGATGCGGGCAGCATGTGGGCAAACTGGGCACCAACAAGCTGGGCACACCCATCCGGGGCCCACATGGGGCCCAAATGGGCAAACTTTACTACACTTTGTTAACTGACCCGACACCTATCTGGGCTGGATGCGGGCAGCATGTGGGCAGACTGGGCACCAACAAACTGGGCACACCCATCCGGGGCCCACATGGGGCCCAAATGGGCAAACCTTACTACAAAACTTTGTTAACTGACCCGCCACCTATCTGGGCTGGATGCGGGCAGCATGTGGGCAGACTGGGCACCAACAAACTGGGCACACCCATCCGGGGCCCACGTGGGGCCCAAATGGGCAAACCCCAGCCAGCATGCCCATGTGGGCCCCACATGGGCAGTTGATGGGCATGGTGGGCTAGGTGGGCCATGGGCTAG